CAAAAAAATTAGCATATTACGCTGTTACCATTTAAATTTGACATTATTCAGCCCAATTCCGCAAGAAATCACTAAAAATTCAGTAGATTTCAGCAATTCAGCAAAATTTAGCATATTCAGCAATTCAGCAGAAATTCAGCAAAAATTCAGCGGTTACCATTTAAGTTTGAAATTATTCTGCAAATTCCGCAAGAAATCACTAAAAATTCAGCAAATTCTGCAATTCAGCAAAAATTCAGCGGTTACCATTTACACCCTATATATCAATGCAGAAACTGAGTCACTGGTGTTACAACCAAAAATTATATATACTTCTTTGTGACATAAGGTATAGTTCATGTCTAAACATAAACAACCGTAACAATCACAAGGCCAAAAAATCAAGTAAGGAAGAATAAACACTAATTAGAGGCTAAAACATTCTCATTGTCAAACACTTCTTTTGAACCAAGAAGAGGATCCTCTTGCAACATATGACTGCCGCCGATCATCCGAATTGCACTATGGGCAATGAGATGTGCACCTCTATTCATTGCAGCCTCCTCCACTTGTAGTCTCCATTCTTTGAAAACTTCTAAAAGTTTTAACTAGTGACACATCATGGGAAACAAAAGATGGCCAAGCACAAGGCCTCAGTATTGCTCCTAAAAGCTTAGAGTCTCGTGAGGCAAAAATAACTTTGTCCATCTTATGTTCAGCAATACTAGCCATAGCCCAAGACAAACATCTCTTTTGAGCTTCCATTTTGTTAGATAACCCCGAGAAAATCCTACGGCTATGCAACAAAACCAAACTATTGGAGTCTCTAGTAACCCATGCTCCACCACAAGAGGTGGAATTCTTTGACCAAGAGCATGCCACATTGCATTTGGTCCAGTTTAAAGGGGGTGGTTTCAATCTGGATTTCTTCTTCTTCTTCTCGATGATCGAAGTTTTGATTAACTTCTTGAGCTAAAAACCAGCTCTCTGACTCCTCTCTCCTTTTTGTACATTATTTTTGTTTCCACTGACCAAAACCGTTTAACTTCAAAGAAGAGAGTGTTCCTGTTTTTCCAGATATTGCAAAAAAAATTACTAATCTATATAATAGGAAACCACTTTTTTTGCATTTGATGACGTCAGCAAATTTTATTGAAAAAAAAACCCATCCGATGGCTAAAATCAAACATGAGTTTTGATTGAACGGCTCACATTAAAATATCATGTAATCCCCAAAAATTGGAAAGATTTTTTGTTGATCGTGAGTCTTTGCATCAAACAATGCGTCTTCTAAACAAGAGACTCCTTATACTCGATCGTCGTCTCTTGCATCAAACAAAGCGTCTTTTCAACAAAGTCTCCTCATAATGATCCAATTAAAAAGCTCTCTCCATCCATTGTGTTCGTTGTTTCTCATCACAAACGTGGTACGGTGCAGACCAATATCTTAATCATTCTTTATCCCTGCTTTCTCTTTATTATCTCATGATCACAGTTGAATTGCCGAAATCAATTCAGTTCATTCAACTGGATAAGTCTCTCTTTTCTTCACCATTCTTCCCTATTTAATCTCTGTTATAATATGTAATTCAATATGGTTTCTGAACATGTTAAAACATCGAGAGAAAGTTGCAGAAAATTCTCAAGTTTTCGTAACTTCAATTTTTAGTTTTTTTTTACTGAACATAATAACATGCAATTCGTTTCAGAACCCAAAAAATTATATTTGTATGGATTTTGAGTTTTAATAGCAGTGTGTTGTTTTAAGCAATTGGATTAAAATTGTGATGGTTCGTTTGGTTTGATTGATTAAACATTGGTGTATTGGGATTTGGGAGGAATTGTAGATATTATTGTTTGTATCATGTTTGCTTTAAAAGCCAAAGGTATGAGATTTTTGGTTACGTATCAGATGGTGCTTACGGGGTAACCAAGGATCCAAGGTTATGATTGCTTGATAATCCTTGATTCTTTCGACTAAAAAAAATTCTACTGGTAGCCACTTGTTTTTTATTTAAAAATGGGGTCCTACCATTGTAATTCTACTGATATAAACGATTACATTATGAGAAACTGGGACACATGGCAAAAGAATCACACATAATTGGCCATATGACAATATGCCCACGTATTTGTGCCTACGTAGAAGCGCGTGAAGGGTTGTTTTTGTTACCAAACCAATTTACCCACGAATCTTTGTTATTAGCTAATTAACCATTGCATTATAAGAAAACGGTAAAAAAGAACCAACTTTCTAGTTTAAACCGAAAAAACTTTAATATATTTTTTTAAATATGAAGTAAAAAATTCTACGTGGCGGCTTCTCATCGATTTCGAAGTGGTTGATTACAAGATTATCCTCTAAAAAAAATGCGTTAACTACATGTTTTGCCATCGTTTTTTATTTTACTTAATTCGTTTAATGATAGTTAATGGGTTTTGGGTAATGGGTTTGAGTCTCTTATTTTTTTTTTGCCCATAAATAAATCTTTATTGAGGTAAATCTAGCTC